TTAACAAGCAATGACAACAATGACTACATCAGGCACCTAGCAACTCTGCAGCTAGCCTGGTCGACCGCCAGCACAGCTTGGTCGACCGCCTGCCAGCATTGCGTAGAGGAGCCGCGCCAGCACTGCCGAAAGGGGACCTGCCAACACAGCAGGTCGACGGCGTGCCAACGCTGCAGCAGAGCAGCTATCCAGCGTTGCCCCGTAGAAGACAGCAGTGCGCACGCTCGCAGGTGCGCGCAGACGATTGGCCCGACTTGCATCGTTGTGCATCCGTCGGCTGTTGTCTGCGCCTGACGAGCCACATCGACTTCGGGATACCAACCTGAAGTCGCCTTCGTCGTCGCGACATCGACGACGTTCGCGTGCCTCCGCAGAACTCGTCGAGCAGGTTACCCGGTCGACCACCACTGCCTTTGGTCGACCACCAGGTGCCTCTGGTCGACCACCAAGTGCCTCAGGTCGACCACAGCTCCCGTCGAGCTACCCCACGGTCGACGGACCCCTCCGTCGACTAGAACCGCCAGCTGCTGTCGCCGAGCTCCCCTCGTCGACCGCTGCTCACATGTCAGGTCGACGGACTGTTCCGTCGACCTCCCCGGTCGAACTGCTCCTCCTGGTCGACGGCCCACCCATCGCCCAGTCCAGGCAGCTGCAGCTGTCGAGCTCCCTGGTCGGCAGCAACACCACAGTGGTCCCCTGCAGCTCGACGACGCCCGCCGAGCAGCTCTCCCACTGTGAACGGTCGGCTGCTTCTCCCGTACATCCGACCAAGTCGTCGGCGTTGCCCAAGCGAGGGCGGGGCCAACATTCCATTCCCGTTAACATGGTGTACCTCCTTTCTTGCCTATTTGTACTTGTCACTCCATAATGCAAACCCCTTCTTCCTTGGCCAAGATCCTCTCGCTAGTCTCGTCCCTCTTGCCATGGCTAGCTCAAACCCTAGCCATGGCTCCTAACTATGTTGCTACTTTGACATGCTATCAGAGCAGGCCTGATTCTAGGCCTTTTTTTTTTTGCACATGGGCCCGCCATTATCGTCTGCTATGGCTACCCGTCGTGCAGCTTCTGTCCGTCACTCTGCACGTGACGGCGAGCTGTGCATTGGCGCCAAATGCGGCCGCTTCTCGTCGCGAACGTCGCTGGCCCCGTCCGTCGCCTGCCCAGCTCGTAGCAGCCCGTCCGCCCCGCCCCCTCCCCCCCACCCCCCCTCCCCGTCTCCCCATGCCGTTTCGTCGCCCCGCGGCTCTCGTGGCGACGAGCTGGGCGGCTGTCGTGCTGCCCCGTCGCCCCGTTGGCTCGCTTCCTGCTGCCCCGCTTTCGTCGCGCCGCCCTTGCGCCTGCCCGTCGAGTGCGCCAGCGTATGCCCGACGCGCTGCATCCGCGACCCCCGGGGAGCCCTTCATTTCGTGCGCCAGCTGCCGTGTTTGCTCCTGCCGTTGAAGGGGAGAGGGGGAGGGGGGGGGGGGGGGGGGGGGGGGGGGGGGGGTATTGGGGATGGTGGCCGTGAGTGGGGATGACGGGGGTGGATAAAGCCGAGGCTGCCGCCACTCCGCTGCTGTGTTAATTAGTTGCACCGCCACCCGCCTGCTCCTCCTTCTCCCTGCTGTGCCTGCAGCAGTGAGGGGGGGGAGGGAGGTGGGTGGGAGGGTGTGGGGGTGGCGGTTGTGACCAGCCAGCAGTCGTTTCCTCCTCCTCGCACTTCCGCTGCCTCCGCCTTGTATTAGTTGCCCGTACCTGCTCCGGTTTCTGCCTGTTTTGCCGATCTGCCGCTGTGGGGGGAGGTTTGGGGGGGGGGGGGGGGGGGGGAGAGAGATTGAAGGGGATTGGCCGCCGTGAAGCCAGCAGCTCCTGTCGCCCGTGAGCCCGTTGCTCCAGTCGCACGTGGGTCAGTTGCTCCAGCCGCTCATGTAGCCGCAGAGCCAATTACTCCTGTTGCCCGTGTGCCAGTTGCTCCAGTAGCCCGTGTGCCAGCAGCTTCAGCCGCTGCCCACCTCCTCCTCTCCTCTCATGGTCCATCCTCCTCCTCACTTGCTGTCTACTTCTTCCGCTGCGCTCTGCCTTGGGTGTACCCCTACATGGGGGTGTTGCTGCACATAGTCATCCACTGGTGTGTTCGAATATAACTTTATGCAGTGTAGACTGTAGTGTATGTAATTTCTTGCTGTAGGTGGTATACCTCCTTTTTTTCGTATTTGTACTTGTCACTCCATAGTACAAACCCCTTTTCCTTGGCCAAGATCCTCTCGCTACTCTCGTCCCTCTTGCCATGGCTAACTCAAACCCTAGCCATGGCTCCTAACTAAGTTGCTACTTTGACAAGGGTATCCATATTTCGACAATGATCACCAATGTACAGTAACTTTTGTTTTTCGAGCCTGTAACCTCCTGTGATCGCGGATCGTTGGCCCAACGAGCAAATACCTATTGTGTGATTTGCTCGCGAGCTCAAAGCTCGCGAACTCGGTGAGAGCCACGATCGATCGCCGCCGCATAGTCACGTCGCAATTTCAATGTACGCCGTACAGTTCACAGGGTATTCTGCGTGCCCTAAATAATCATTCTCATGTCATCGATACTTCGGTGCGACAAAAATGTCGCCGCGCTTCGAGATGATTGCCCAACTCTGTACCCCAACGCAATATCGAGTCTGTCACATGGGGCTCGAAACCAACATGCGATTGGTTATCTGCTGTCACCACCACCCAATGGTGCCCCAATCCTGTAATCAGTGCACCCGATTGGTTTTTCCTGGCGATCCTGCGATCGATCGAGGGAGGGGACGCGTGACACGTGTTAGAATCTGCAGGGGCAGCACGGTCGCAGGGGCGAGCACGGCTGTAGGGGCAGCGCGGTCGCAGGGGCAGCGCACGGGCTGCAAGGGCAGCGCGGCTGCAGGGGCTGCGTAGGAAGAAAATTTTACGGTTAGGGCAGGGCGGAACGTTCGATGGGCCCTAGGAACGATTCTGCTCTGATACCATGTTAGAATCTACAGGTAGGAATGGTGGACTAGGTAGCATGCATGAGTACAAGTACCTAACCCTAAAGTGTTGTACCCCTTGTAGGCTAATCCACTATAGCTTAGAGAGAACACAAACATGCAGTTTGACAACACGTCCTCATCTTGGCTCCTTATCTTTACCTGTTTGTTATAGAATTGCTAGATCTCAAGTTTTTCATAAAAGTTGGAAAACGTTTAGATCTGTGACACCCATATTCACGCCTAGTTACCGCGTGAATCAAACGCTGACAGCTTCCTTATGGACAACACAGACCACTGCCTACCAGCTGTATGTCCTTGGCTCGCGCGCCGTCACAGCGCACCAATCATGCACGGCTGCACACATCACTGTAGCTCACCAATGCCCCTCTGATTGGCCTGTTCTCTCCTTCACGCCTATCCACCAATGCCCGGCTGCCCGTTTGTCGGTCACTCATACACACCCCCCGGCCCCACTACGGCGGATTCTACGGTACGGATAAATTCCCATCCTCCCAAGTCCTTCTCACAAGCGGACTTGGTTACGAATCACGACCGAACGATTCTGTTTCCCGCACTTGAAGTCACCCCGTAGATCTGCTCACCCTGTCGACGTTTCCCCGTCAGCAACCACTTCTCGCGCTCATCTCCACGCCCTCCCCTTTCCGCGTTTCCCGCCTTCCCTACACGGGCCCCTGCTTTTTACCGCTGGGCCATAGCAGCAGCCAATCCTTCCTCGCACGCGCGCGCGCGCGCCGTCCATGCACAAGTCTTAGGACTGAGTCGCCCCGCTGCTCTCGTTTGTAGCATACCCGTCCCTCCGCGTGCACCCCATCCCCTTCTCCGGGGTACCACTACCGGCGGGGGAGATCGCGCATCGCCACCTCCGCCGCTTCAGCTTCCGCTGTGGCTGGCGCTGCTGGTCAGCGGAGATCGGGATCCTCCTTTCTGCTCCCACCTGCAACCCGCGCAAGCTCCGCTGCTTCTTCCGCTTCCGCTACCGCCGCCTCTGCGGCTGCGGCGACCACGGCGGCAGCACGCGCTGCTACGATGCCGGCGGCCGTAATAGGCGCCATCAACGGCGCCATTCACGCGGCCTCCGGGAGCAACTTGGGCCCTGCGGCTTTGTCGCGCAGCAGCCGCAGTGCGCGGCTAGTAACCGTGCAGCAGCGCAGCACCTCACTAAACCGTATCGGATCGTCGCTCAATAACGAGTCGTTCAGCAAAGTCGCGCCACTTCAGGCGGCGGCGCGTCTCGTGGCGCGATCGCGGAGCAGCAACGAGCTGGCAGGCGGCAGGAAAGCGCCGATTGGTGGGAATGGGATCACTACCAACGGATGGGGCGATCGAAGAAGAAACCTCAGCCTAGGGCGTGAGTGTTGCGGGCTGATTGGCGGCCTGACTGGCGGAGCGACTGGCGGGGCGGGTGACGGGGCGGGCGGAAGGAGCGGAGCGCGCAGGCACTTGTGGAGCAGCAGCAGTGGCGGGGCGAGTGGAGTCGCTGCCGTGGTGGGGGGAGGCGGGGGGTTTGGGGATGGAGATGGCGGATGGGGGGTTTGGGGCGGGGGAGGGGGGGAAGGGGGTGGCGGTAGCGGAGGAGGTGGAGGCGGAGAGGAGGGGGAGCATGAGGGGGTGATTGGCGGAGGGGGAAAGGTGTTGCTGGCGTTGCAGGCACTACGGGTGGGTGGGTGGGTTGAGAGTGGATGAGTGGACGCATGGTGGGAGAGTGGGGGGGTGCTGTGTGCTTGTTTGTGCAACAAGGTTGCCGTGCACACGTGGCAATAGCATGCATGCTCTTCTGTCCACCATCAAATCTCCATCCCCACCCACCCTCACTTCACTCTCCTCACCATGCGTCTGCTTATTCGGCCCTTCCACCCACCCCGTCTCTCGCCTCTCCTCATTCTTGTCTCTTCCCCCCTTCCTTCTTTGCTCCCTTCTCTGCGACCCTTCTCCCTTCCCCTCTGCTCCCTTTCCCCCTCGGTTCACCTCCTCTCGTCCCCCTTGTCTCGTGTGTGTGCAGGCTGCAGTGACGAACAGCAGTGTACTGCCCGTCATTTGTAAGCCTCTAATCCTGAACCTCTTCTTCTCTTCTACTCCTCTTCGCCCCTCCCTCCTCCCCTTTCCTTGCTGCGCACTCCCGTTCGGAACCCCACCACCTCGTCCCCATGCATGAAACGAGGTGCCGCTGAGTAGGCTCAAAACCATGCACACTGCCCCTACCCGCTCCCTCACTCCATCCCCTCGTGAATGCACCTGCGGGTATCTGTGCAAGTGTGTGGGGACGGGATAAGAGGTGTGAGGGAAGGGGTAGTGTTGTCGGATGGTGGGACCCAGTCCCCGCGCTTCCTCACTCACTTCCGCTCTTCCCGTCCGCACCTTCCCCTCATCCCGTCGCCGTGTGTGCAGCACCCACACCATCCCCTGGCAAGGACAACGGCAGCAACAGCAACAACGGTGGCGACGCAACTGGTGGCGACGGTGGCAGCCCGTCGAGCTTCCTCTCCGCACTGGCTGAGCTCACCACCATGATCATTCCCTTCGCTCCTCCTCCATCCTCTCCCTCCACCCCTCCCTCGCCTTCCTCTCCGTCCTCCCCTCCCTCGCCCTCCTCCCCCTCCTCCCCTTCCTCCCCCTCCTCCCCCTCACCATCAAGCCAGGAAATAAACCCTTCTGCCACCTCCGTTGCTGCTCCCTCTGACTCCTCCTCCTGGCCCGCCTTTCCCCCCTCTCTTCCATCGCTTCCCCCCTTGCCCACGCTTCCATCTCTCCCCGCGCTGCCCGCTCTCCCCACAATGCCCGTAATGCCCACGATTCCCGCGATGCCCCCGCTGCCCGCGCTGCCCGATGCCATTGTGCCGGCGATTTCCTGGCAGAGGTATGTATGTGCGCATGGGGAGTGGGTGCGTGGGAAGATGGGAGGATGGGAGGGTGGGAGATGAGAGGGTGGGAGGGTGGGGGAGTGGGAGGGTGGAAAGACGGGAGGGTGGAGGAGTGGGAGGGTGGGAAGATGAGAGGGTGGGAGGGTGGAGGAGTGGGAGGGTGGGAAGGTGGGGGAGTGGGAGAGTGGGAGGGTCGGAAGCGCTTGCGGATTGCCCCTTGGTCTGGCATACACACATGCTCGTGCGTGTGAGAGCGGGACATTCGTAAGGGAAAGCAGCACAGACGATCTTCCAGTCGACTCAAAAGGCGTCGCTTCCTGGCTGCCCCTTGGTATCACACGCACACACATGGTCCCTCCGTGTGAATCGGACATGCAAAATGCAAGGGAGAGCAGCGCAGTGGCTGCGGGGCAGTCGTCGTGAGGGCTTCAGTTCAGCGCATGGCGCCATTGTGTGCGTGTGATACCAAGGGCAGCCGCACAGTGACCGTTCATGCTTCTTCCTTTCGAAACCACGCATCCCATCCGTGTCTCCCCTCACCTTTCTCCTCCGAAACTCCCTTTCACCATAGTGGGAGCAATGGCACACTGCTGCACGCTGGTCCCAATCCGATCCCGCACTTCTCTTCCCTCTCCACCTTGTTCCCCTTCCCCCACTCCTTTTCCACCCCGTCCCTCCCTGTCCCCCCCTATCCCTCCCATCCCTCCCATCCCTCCTTGTCCCTCCTTGGTCCCTCCTTTTTCGCCCCATCTCTCCCCCCTGTCCCTGGGCGAGCAGCATAGTGGCAGCGATGACCACGCTGGTGCACGGGTCCACCACGGACATAGGCTGGCTGGGCAACGACCCTAAGCTGCCTGCTGTCAGGGACCGCACGGACCAGTACGCACGCACGCTGCGCCAAGTCATGTGAGTTGCTCTGCTGTTGTGATGCTCTTTCTTCTACACTGCTGTTCTTCTACTCCCTCGTCTGCCGTTCAGTCAACTCGAAAGTCATCTCTGTCCTGCTTATTCTATGTTTCTTTCTTTAATCCCACGACCCGCAGTAACATCTCCTCCCCTATTCACGCCCCTCCTCCTGCATCTCTTGTCGATCTCCTCTCGCGCGCCATTCACTTTCGCACTTTGCACTTCGCATTTCCGCACTTCCTCGCTTCCCCAGCTGCCCCATCTATGTCCGTGCTGCTTTACCAAGCCTGCTGCCTGTCTATCTCTTACAAGCTTCTGCCCTCTTTCTTCTTGTCCTGTGCTTGTATGGCATGGCATGCGTGCGTGCATGTGTGTGTGTATGCGTGCTTGTCTCGGTGCAACTTTGTGTATATGGCCATGTGTGGGTATTCTTGTTCTGACCATGCCCATGCATATTCGCTGCTTTGCACGCGTGCATGCATGGTCAAATGCATGCATGGTCGAATGCATGTGTACTTTCGTGCATGCATCCCCAATGCTGAATCACCAGGCAGGGCCATCACTCTCTCCCTGACGATCTCATCTACCTCCTCATCCCAGGTGCACTCTCCCCCCTGCATTCACGCCCCCCTGCATTCACGCCCCCCTGCATTCACGCTCCCCTGCATTCCCATTAAGTCATGACTCCTCGCACTGAAATCCCTCTGCTCTATACTCCCCACCTCCACCCCGTCCTTTCACGCCCCTCTCCCTCTTGTACCTCTCCCAGTCGTTGTCTCTATGCCATTGTGGCCCATCCTTTCAAGCACACCGTATCTTCACCAAACACATCCTCCTTTCCTCTCTTCCAGTTGTGCACCCACCCACCATTAGCAAAAGACTTCCCCATGCACATACGCGCTCGCGATATATCACAAACCATCCCTCACTCCCATGGTGCATGCACGTACAGTCCCAAATAAACTTTTGAGTCGACTCAAAAGTCAGCATGGTGCATGCACGTACAGTCCCAAATACTCTCGCTGCACGCACCAGGCTCCCTTCCCTTGCCCCATTCGGGATTCCTCGGCTTCTATCAATCCATGCCTCATGCGCACCTGACTGCAGAGCACGCGTTGTATGTCCCACAAGCATCTCTCGCTCCTAAGCCTTGCTGCTACCTCACCACGCCGTCTCCTGGCTCATCCCACAACGTCATGATTTCTCCTCTGTGTGTCCGCGCATGTGTGTGCACGTGTGCACGTGCGCATGTGCATGCATATGCACATGTGTGTGTGTGTGTGCGGTGGGAGCTTGTGTGGGGAGCAGGGCTGTTCAGCAATCTGAGTCCGCTGTATCTGCTGGACACCAGGGAGCACTTCTCCTCCCTGGGCCTCACATGTGAAATCGCCAAGATCGACAGCCAGGTGCGCTCCACTTCCACACACAGCTTCCATTCCCTTGCCTGCATGCCCCACTTCCATTCCGCCCCTTCTTTCCCCATCTTTCCCTTCCCTTTTTCTTCCCCCCCTCTTTCCCTCACCCACCCTCCACCTCCCCACTGCTGCGTCCCCTCTCTCATGCCCCCACACCCCCCCTGTCCCTTGGTCCCTCACTCGTTGCTCACGAAGTGCGTCCCTTTGTAGCACTCATTCACTCTGCCATTCGCCAATCCTGGGTCCTGTCAGTCCGTTCCCGTACCCTCCGCTCCCTCCTCCCTCCTCCCGCCTCCCGCCTCGCTCATCCCCCCTCCCTCTGCCTCTGCATTTCATGGCCCTCATGCCTCTGACTCTGTCCTCCCGTCGTCATCACACCAGTGGATGTGTGGAATTCTTTTACAGGCACCTCTATTTGTGCAATTTTCCCCAGGCGTCCAAAACCTCTAGTGTGTATGCACGTCCCATCCCCTTCTCATCACTCCCTGGCGGGTGTGGAAACCCAAGCACATGTGCTTTGAGCTGACTCATAGCTCGCTTTCAGTGCATGTGCACCAGAAATTTTGGGAACTCCTGCTTGTGTGTGCGTCCCTATCCCCCTCCTATGACACCAGGCGGGTGTGGAGTGGAGGCGAACGCGCGTGTGCTGAGCTGAGGGACACATGTGCTTTGAATTCCTTTGTGTATGCGCACCTCCCCACCCCATCCCATCCCCCTTTCGTGGCACCAGGCGGGTGTGGAGGCAAACGCGCGTGTGCTGCGGGACACAGTGACAGCGCTGCTGGCAGGGAAGGCGGATGAGGGTGAGGAGATTTACGCCCATGGCTTCCCTTCCCAAGACAGTGGTAGCAGCGGCAGTGACAGCAAAGGGAGCAGCGGTGCTGCTGCCGGGGACGAGAAGAGTGCCAAACGACAGAGAGTGGGGGAGGGGGCAATGCGCAGCAAGAGTGGGACGGGCAACGCCAGCGGCAACGGGAGTGCTGACAGCGACAGCAACAGCAACAGGAAGCGGCGGGTGCTGCTGATAGGGCACAGCAAGGGCGGGCTGGACGCAGCAGCAGCACTGGCGCTGTTCCCGGCACAGCTGAACAGCAGCACGGTGGCGGGGCTGGTGTGCATGCAGAGCCCGTACGGTGGCACGCCCATGGCCTCCGACATTCTCCGAGAGGGCTCCCTGGGGAACGGCACTCTGCGGTCCGTGCTGGAGCTGCTGCTGGATAAGCTGTTCAAGGTCAGTCGGGGGGGGGGGGGGGGGGGAGAGGAGTGGTGGTGGGGTGCGTGGGTGGGTGGGTGGGTGGGTGGGTGGGTGGGTGGGTGGGTGGGTGGGTGGGTGGGTGGGTGGGTGGGTGGGTGGGTGGGTGGGTGGGTGGGTGGGTGGGTGGGTGGGTGGGTGGGTAGCATTGAGCGTGGACAATACATTCCCATGACCTCTGCCTGCCTCACTCACTGACAACACCAAGTGCTTTCTCCTCCCTTGCTCCCACTCGCCCTGCTTGCAACTGTGATTCCTCGTTCCTCCCCTCCCCCCTCTTGCTCCCGCGTCCCGCTTCTCCCGTGTTCTCCTCCTTTCTCCCCCCACACCTCCCCCGTTCCTCCCTCATTCCTCCCCCTTACTTCCTCCCTCCCTCCCTAATCCTTCGCACCCCCCCCCCCCCTCCATCCCTTCCATTTGCCCTCACCCATCCGTCCCCCATTCTCTTGTTCTCACCCACCAACCCAGGGTGACATCCGCTGTCAGGACGATCTCACCTACACGCGCCGCCGCGCCTTCCTCGAGCACCACCATCGTCACCAACTCCACCCTGATTCCCCACTCCTTTTTCATCCTTCCCCCATTCTTTCCTTCTTCCTCCCCCCTTCCCCCCGTCTGCACGTATTCCTCCCCCATACCCCCCCTCTTCTCCCACCCTCGCAACCCAGGGTGACATTCGCTGTCTGGAGGACCTAACCTACACCCGCCGCCGCGCCTTCCTCTCGCACCACCCGCTCCCTTCCTCCATCCCGTGCCTCTCCTTCCACACCAACGCGTCCCGCGCCCCAGCAGTCATCGCGTCCCTCTCCACCATCACGCACACCGAGATCCCCTGGCTCGCCCGCACCTCTCAAAAGCTCGCACTCGCCTTCCCCCTCTCCGCAGCCCTAGCTGCACTCTCCCTGTACCTGGAGAATCGGTACGGTGCGGAGAGTGATGGGCTGGTGACCAGGGCTGATGCGGAGGTGCCGGGGTCGATTGTGGTGCGCGCTAAGAGGCAGATGGACCATGGGTTCATGGTGTTCCCGTCCATGGGACAGAGCCGCAGAGCGAATGGTGTGGGGGAGGAAGGAGAGGTGGAGAGTGGTGGTGATGTGGAGGGTGGTGGTGGTAATGGTGGGGATGGGAGTAACAGTGGTGCGAGCATGAGTGGGGGTAGCAACGGCAGTGGTGGTAGAGTGCCGGATGGTAGCAACAACAGCGGCAGCACCATCAGCAACAGCAGTGATCTGCCAAGGGGAGCTACGGTTGCTGCTGCTGCTGTGGGCGGTGCGGTTGCAGCAGCGGCGACAGGGGTCGCAGAGGGCACCAAGGACATGATGGGAGGAGACGGTGAGGGCGAGGATGAGGTGGATGTCACTCCTGCTGAGATCTGTGAAGCCCTGGCAACGTTGCTGCTGGCTGAAACAAAGTGATGCGTAATGGTGCCATGCTCCTGTGCTGCTCTGCTGCTGTGGTGGACGCGTGCATGAGCTGAGCAACACCATTGCTACTGGAACTTGTGTACATATTGTGCAATGCTGTTCTGCATGCCAGTGCTGCTTGTTCGCTTTCGCTAATGCATTTGCGACCCCAAAGCACCGTAACCTGCCTCTCTTTGCCTAGGTAGGACGGGTTATATTACAGTTGCCAACAAGTGCAGTAATTTGTTATGAATAATTTAGAAATAAATTTCTAAATTTAATGATTGTGACAAGATTCGGAAAGGGGGGAATGCAATAAGGAGTCATTCCCCTCTTATCCCTCGGCAGGTCCACAGACCTGCCACCTAGTCTCATTTCATCCATCTCAGTTTGAGTTCCCGCCCGCCGCACCCCTAGGACGCTTGGACGCTTAGATAGTAGGTACTGCTTGTTCTTGCTATTTATTTATATATTGTGTGCCATGTACAACTTGATGATGATAATATGACGACTGCCCAAGCGAATCTTCTCCAGATTCTGGCGCAACTTTCGGGAGATCCTACAAGACGCGCTATGGAGCGCCCCGTTTCGCCAGCGCCGGCGAACATTCGGGCTACACCTTCGCGGAGCGACCATATGGAGTATCGGAATATTAACAACGCGCCGCACAACGTCGACGCGCTTCACCAAATGTCGGAGCTTCTTGCGCTGCTCCAGCGCAATCACGCCAGCGGCCGGCCTGCCCCTGCGGAGAACCATCGCCCAGCAACTCGCCACGTCGAAGCCCCCGAGGTGGCCGAGGAGGAGGAGGACGGCGAACACGGCATTTTCGAGGAGATGAACAAAGGTAATGGCCCTCGCTCCCTCCCGCACGCTCATCCTCCACACTCCTCATCGGCGCTCATCCCAATCCCCCCATCACGTCCCCAACTGCGATCGGCACTCGTTAAGAGCGAAGGAGTTCGCACTCAAATGTTTGGTTTTGAAAGGATTCAAATCATTGCTCGTCACGCGTTGAGCGTTTTGCCCTCCGAGGGAAGTGAGCAAGCGGCTCTCTATATAAAAGAGATTGAGCAAGAGGCCGAGGAAAAGATTATGTTTTTATTCACCGCCGACCAACGCGGGTTTGACGTGGCAAATGTGGCTTTAAAGATTAAGTATGGGGAGGTAGTTGATGATAAGACGGTGAAATCCGCCGCTCAGATCGTGGCTGCAATGAAAAAGAGTCGCCCCAACCGTAACTCTTCCTTTCCCCAGCGGTTCAACCAGAATAGCCGCGGCAGGGGTAACGGTGATCGTTCTTGGAACAAGTGGCGCCGCGACGGGGATGGACGTTGCTTCCTATGCCGTGAGCCCGGCCACGGTATTGCTCAATGCCCCCAGCGCGAGCAAGGGGCGAACCAGCTTGCGCGCATAGTCTAATTGGCTATTTGCATATCTCCAGTGAAATGTCTTGTATGGCGGATGCGAAAAATGTTTTTAATGACATAAGCTTTCAAGATTAGAACATCATTTACAATTCTTTCACGAGCTTGGTAGGCTCATCTTTTCCCACTCCCAGGGTCAGCCTTTGATAAAAAAAAAAAAAAAAAAAAAAAAAAAAAAACTAAACCAAACTTTCTTACATTTAATTGCTGCCACCCACCCTCCAGGCACACCAATGCGCCTCGTGCTTTCACATCCAATACACGCTCACATGCGCGGTCGGTTACGCGGTACGTTACGTGGTGGTCCACATGGTGTGACAGCAGTTTCATGTCAGAAGTATAGGCAGGAATGAATGAACTATGACAGAGTTGGGTACAAGTATGAAACCCTAAAAGGGGCTGTACCCCATATTGGCTACCCCACTACAGCCTACACATGTATAACAAGCATATGCTTTGACACACCCCCATAGGCAAAGTGGGGGAGAGCAAGAGAAGCAAAGCAAGCTCAGGGTGGATCACAACGTCACCACTTACTCTGAGCACAAGCAAAGGGCCACAAGGCTAGTTCACATGCAGAGGCATATATGCAACACAAACAGCACAGTGATCTCTACGTAGCAAGGCAAGCATGCAGGTATAGATATATAGATCACAGTACAAGCAAAGCCTACAGCAAGTGAGGAAAAGTGGGCACAAGCCCTAGCAAAGTGCAGAAACGCTGATGATCACCAGACTGAAGTGCCTTGGTGAATATATCAGCAGTGTTGGCCCGAGTGGCCACGTAACGCAGACGAAGCTGACCACGCTGCTGCAACTCTCGAGCCAGGAAGTAACGCAGAGCGATGTGCTTCGTTCTGTGCTCCAGTCTGTGCTCCTCACACAAGGCAATGGCTGCCTTGCTGTTGACGTACAGCACTGGAGGAGAACGAGGCCGCTCTCCCAAGTCTGTCAGCAGGTAGGTGAGCCAGCGTAACTCCTGTGCAGCCATGGCTGTGGCGTAGATCTCAGCCTCACAACTGGAGCTGAGAACTGAAGACGAACGTGTAGAACGCCAAGAAACTGAGCCAGAGCCAAGGCTGAAGGTGTAACCCTGTGACGACCGCTGAGTAGTCTGGTCGTCAACCCAAGAAGCGTCTGAGTGCCCAGTGAGAACAACTGAGCTCCTCCCTCCAAGCACGAGCCCCATGCCTGATGTACTGCACAAGTAGCGCAGTACCCTCTTAGCAGCATCCATGTGCACCTTTCGGTGCCGACCAGGAGCCACGTAGCGAGCCAGAAGGCCAAGAGGGTACGCGAGGTCAGGAGGCAACCAACTAGCTCTGGGTAAGGACCACTCGGCTCTACGGACTCGTCCGAAGGTGGAGCTGAGAGCGAGTGACCTGTAGCCAGAGGAGTGGCCTGTGCCGAGGACCAGGTGAAGCCGAAGTGCTGAAGGACCTGCTGCACCATGTGTGACTGAGTCAGTGTGATGGTGCGGCGTGCTCTGTCCCGGGTGATCCGCAAGCCAAGATAGCTTGTCAGCTCACCCAGGTCTGTGCACGTGTGTCTCTTCTGCAGCTCCGACTTCACCAGGGCGAGAGCCTCAGTGTCAGCAGTGGCAAAGACCAAGTCGTCGACGTACACGAGGATGTAGAACGGCGGCAGCGAAGTGTCGGTGCGCAGAAACAGCGACGGGTCAGCAGTCGACGGAGCAAACCCAAGAGCCGCAAGTGTCGTCCTCAGTGTGTCGTGCCACTCACGTGGCGCCTGGCGGAGACCGTAGACCGGCCGCCTGAGGCTCCACTGGGTACCAGGAGGGAACGACCCAGTGAAGCCAGGTGGGCGGCGCAGCCAGATCTCCTCGTGCAGGCTGCCCTGTAAGAAGGCTGTGCTGAAGTCAAGAGAGTGAAGCTCGTAGTCACGCTGAGCGGCAACGTGCAGCAGCACCCGAAGAGTGGTCATCTTCGGGGTGGGGGAGAAGGTCTGGAAGAAGTCTACTCCCTCTCGCTGACTGAAACCTCGTGCAACGTAACGCGCCTCGAAGACAGGCGGAGAACCTGGCGGCCGCTTCACCCTGAAAATCCACATGCCACTGACGATGTTCGCCCCAGGTGGGGGAACCTCGTCGACATAGGTGCCTGTGGACTTCCAGGATGCCATCTCTGCGTCCATGGCTGTCTGCCACTGAGAGGAGTACTCACCCGCGATCGCCTCAGCGTAAGAGCGCGGGGTCGGGATGTCTGGAGCATCCGGGTCTCCCTCAGGGGCAAGCAGCATGGACACGAGATGAGGCGCAGCGGCTGCAAGACACTCAAGGTCCTCCTGCCTGTCCTCAAGGACGTCCGTGCCAAGAGCACACTCACCCCCGACGGACGGAGGACAGACAGACTCAGACTCAGCAACAAGACTAGCGGCGTAGTCTAGACGACAGGCAGCAGCAAAGTCAACAAGCTCAGCAACTAAGGCAGACGTAGCAGCAGACTCAAACGACGGGTCAGTGACAACAGTGGCTAGCAGACGCGTGATAGTAGGGTGCTCAGCACGAAACCGGTCAGACTCGGGGTCCGCAACGACAGGCAGAGAAGACGCAGGAGGGGACGGCAGAGGAACACGCTGTGGAGGAGAGGAAAGACGACGGACTACGAGGTGGGTGTCGGGGACAGCCGGCAGACGCGGACGAGGAACACGACGACCGGACCAACCAGAACGGACAGGCGAGACAGGACGCGACGCAGGCTCACGACGCTCAGTAAGACTCCCTAGCTGCTCATTGTAAGGAGAAGGAGCAGGCAGCGGTGAACCAGGCTGCAACGGAAGACCAGTAGACGAAGGGAGACTAAGAACCTGGCGAAGCACAGAGTCAGGCGGTGGCTGAGACGACGGAGACGGTGGAGCGAAGAACAGGCGCGGCTGTGCAGTGACACCAGCACCAGCAGCTCCAGTACCCCCAGCACCTCCAGCACCTCCAGCACCTCCAGCAGCTCCAGACCCTCCAGCTCCAGCGCCACCAGCGCCAGTACCTCCAGCAGCTACAGAACCTCCAGTGCCAGCTCCCTCAGCAGCTCCAGAACCTCCAGCTCCAGGGCCACCTGCGCCAGCACCTCCAGCAGCTCCAGAACCCTCAGCGCCTGCTCCTCCAGGACCAGCTCCACCAACAGCAGCACCCCCAGAACTGGCACCTCCAGTCCCAGGGTCTCCAGCCTCAGTGCCTCCTGCAGCAGCACCCTCAGACTCAGCACCTCCAGCCCCAGCAGCTCCAGTACCTCCAGTACGAGCACCTCCGGGACCAGCACCACTCCCAGCTCCAGTGACGACAGCAGAAGTACCTCCAGCGGCAGAGCCCTGAGCTCCAGAAGCGCGACCCTGACGGCGACCGTACCAGTCGTGCAGCTGCTGCGAGGTGAGAGGCACACGCGGACGAAGGCGGCTACTCCAAGGAAGCCGCGCAACAGCAGACTCAGAACCCGCAGCGCCAGCACCCTCAGCAGGTCCAGAACCTCCAGCTCCAGCACCACCAGCGCCAGTACCTCCAGCAGCTCCCGAACCTCCAGCGCCAGCACCCTCAGCAGCTCCAGAACCTCCAGCGCCAGCGCCACCAGCGCC